CCCCAAAACCCCAAAACCCCAAAACCCCAAAACCCCGTGACTCACACCTATGGTTGAAGGGAGTAAAGAGTGGGATTTTGGAAGGGAAAATGGGTGGAGTTTTGGGGGTGAGTGGGGAGGGAGAAGGGGGTTGGCAGGAGAGATGTGAGGGGGAAGAGTGGGTTTGAGAGGGGAGTGGGGGAGAAAGAGGGGCTGGACATTGTTTTGGAGAGATGAGATAGAAGCTATAAAATAGTGGTTTACTTGGATTTGTTTGATATCAAACAAATATGATTAAGGTACTTTAGGAGTTTCAGAGAAGCTTTGGATGAAAATTTAAGTCCTTTGGCTTCAATAAATAGCTCAACTTCTTGATCTTGATGAGCATATAACAAATTAAGGTATGAAAATCTGGTTTAATTTATCACCGTAAGAACTTTCTGATCTAAATAAAATTATTCTTTGATTGTCGAAAATTGAGTTCTTTCTATTAATTTGAAAATTTCTTAAACCAATCTAGATTTTTTACAATTATGTTAGAAGTTTACCACCATTTCATAATGTCTCTCACACTCATTGGCAGATGTCGAAAGCAGTTATGCTTACCACTGGCTTATAATGAGCTATTTTAGAAAAGTGGGTAATTTTAGAGTTTATTATTCAAGAAGACTTATAAATAATCTCCTCATGTGAAGAAGGATTAGATTTCAAGTTAATAGCTAAATAACACCAAATTATTAAAGTTTGAGCACTCTTTAAACTTTATTGAGAAAATTATGAAATAGAGTAATGAAGACAGTCATTATTTTTGGATCAAGTCTAGAAAATTCATATATCTTGTATGGATACTATAGTCGTTTATTACGAAGATGGATAAAGGCTAAACCCACTCAGCTTTCAACTATCATCCAAGAAAATTAAGTCAATAAAATTTTCCAAAATCTTTGTAAAAACTTTGACATTAGGATTCCACACATTCCATCTTAACTTTTACTTCGAGGTAATGTTACCAACTGAGGAAATGCTCTTACTTGCTCATAATTACTAAAATTGATTACAATAGTCAATAATTGTCGTAATTTGGAGCATCAAGGTTACCATTATAAAACTCCTATGTTATTAATGCTCTCTTCTACAAATGTAAACTTGCTAATTAGCGAATCATAGTCTCACAATCAAGGAATGGGACTGACTCAATTATTATTTACACAGAAAATCCAAACCTATTCTTCATGGATCTTTAGGCTGAAATTTCCTATACTTGGACTAATCAGGTACCAGATTCTTAAATTGAGTAATTATTTGTAAACTGTCACTTTTCCTAGTAACAATTTCGGATTAAGATGAATAAAATTTAGAACATTCCTCATGGTAAAATTACACTCTGAAATTGTAATGTACGTATCCTGACGTTTTATGATTCCCTTAATAATGTCTATATAATTCTAAGCCTCCATGAACGAAAAGGAGAGCAATCCAATTAGTTAATAATTACTTTCCATATTTACATTTGATCTTGCTAGAATATGTCGACAATGTTTCTGAACTTTTTTCCTATAGATTAACAAGTAGTAACGACCCTCGTAATATTCTTGAGGCTCCCAGGAAGGATTATATTTCCCCATATAAAATTAGAAACTGATACTTAAGTTAAAATATTATGGGTATGATTAGAAGTTATATCATTTTATGAAGAGCTCTGCTGTTTTACGATAAACATCCTGACTCTTCTGTGGAAGACCAGAGATGAATTCTTCGAGGCCATGCTCCACAAAGAACTTGAAGGCTTTTCCAATTAGTCTGCTTTGTAAGACCTTCTCAAGTTTTGAATGAGAATATTTTACTAGTATATCAGAAAGGAGTCTTATAGCCCCATTCTTATAATTGAACAAGCCCTTCGTCAACTTGGTCATTTTTCTCATTGCCAACCAGCAAACCAACTCTTTGAAGTCTTCGGAGTTCTCTTCCATATTTGTGGGGTTATAAAGCTCAAGCTCCTGAGCATCATCAAGTAATTGTTGTTTCAGAGCTTCAAAAGGAATCTTAATTTTGCTAGGTCTCTTATTTCTTGAGCTGAAGCATTCGGTCATAAACTTTTTGAAGGCTCTGACCATCTTCTTATTGACCACATCTTTGCGATGCTTAAGTTCAGCTCCATAATGGTTTGATTCATTTAAAAGGAGACTTACAAAAGTTGAACGTTCATGCTCAGATTCATAATTCTGAAACTGAAATTCTGTAGTATTCCCATTTCTTGCTTCTCATATACAAGAGTGCTTTGAAATTCCAGCTTCAGCAACAGTTGAAGATACTTGCGATATCTTTTTATTTTCTGCCTTAGATTTTCTGATATCATAAATGCTGACATATATTGGTGGTTGGGTTCCACCACTTTTTCAAACTTCTCCATTTAGTAAACTAGCTTTCCAAATTTCATACAAGCTGGGATTTTTAGTGGTCGAGCTGATAGATCTTTCTTGAAGGTCAGATACGGCAGGAGTTGTTTCTTTCAGCTGTTCAGCTTCATTTTGATCACTGCAGTCAGAATGCACTGGCTTGAGCTCCATTAGTTGATTAGAGAATGTTGTCATATTATCACCCTGAAAAGCAAAAGGGTGAAGATCCTTAGTTGAAAAGGCATTTTCTTTGAGTAATCATATATCCTCTTGTTGTAGAAAGCTTCCTTGGTGTGCTTGAATGAATTCTATAGCTGAGTTAGAGGCTTATTTTTAGATTTTAGGAAGTAGAGAGTATAGAAATCTATTACCAACTATCTAATCAAAGTATTTTGCTTCTATAATAGATCTCAAATTTCTCGGTTTACATTTTAGCCAAAAAATTCAAGAATAAAGAGCCAAATTTAGTATCTCGAAATCTGAAATCCCATGCACCTCTAGATACTCACAAATCTCCTATATCCACTCTGTCTCCAACCAATATCCCTTTCATACACACACAGTCACTTATAACACCCTAACAAACCCCAAAAATAACATTACCTTCCAACCCTCACCCCAAAACCACCCCAACCCACCTCTACCTCCCTCCCCCAAAATCCCTCTTCCCCACCCAAAACCCCCTCTCAGCCCACACACCACTATCTCCCTCTTACCTTGCTGAAGATCTTGTTGACAGGTCCACATTATTTATTATTTCAGTCTCCTCACCAAGACTTGGGGTTTTGGGGTTTTGGGGTTTTGGGGTTTTGGGG